GCCGTGTTTGTCCGCAGGCAGAGCCCCTGAGCCCTCCGGTGCCCGCGGCCGGAGGAGGTGCCGCCATGGGGAACCAGCTGGCTGGCATCGCCCCCTCACAGATCCTGTCGGTGGACAGCTACTTCTCGGACATCCACGACTTCGAGTATGACAAGAGCCTGGGCAGCACCCGCTTCTTCAAGGTGGCCCGAGCCAAGCACCGGGAGGGGCTGGTGGTCGTGAAGGTGTTTGCCATTCAGGATCCCACCTTACCCCTGACGAGCTACAAGCAGGAGCTGGAGGAGCTGAAGATAAGGTTACACTCGGCACAGAACTGCCTCCCCTTCCAGAAAGCCACCCTGTCCGAGAAGGCCGCCATGCTGTTCAGACAGTACGTACGGGACAACCTTTATGACCGAATTAGTACCAGGCCGTTCCTGAACAACATCGAGAAAAGGTGGATCGCTTTCCAGATCCTCACCGCGGTGGACCAAGCGCACAAATCTGGAGTCCGCCACGGTGATATTAAAACTGAGAACATCATGGTGACCAGCTGGAACTGGGTTCTTCTAACTGACTTTGCCAGTTTTAAACCAACTTACCTTCCTGAAGACAATCCTGCTGACTTCAATTATTTCTTTGACACATCCCGGAGGAGAACGTGTTACATCGCTCCCGAGCGCTTTGTCGATGGCAGCATGTTTGCCACGGAGCTGGAAAACATGAGGGACCCTTCCACTCCTTTGGTAGACTTGGCAAACAGCAATCAGCGAACAAGAGGGGAGTTAAAACGTGCAATGGATATCTTTTCTGCAGGTACTTGGAGCTATCAGGTGTTGTTTCTGACTAATGCAATGCAGAAGAACTTTACTAAGGTTTTTAATTCCTTTTTTTTCTTTTCTTACAGCTGGCTCGGAGTGCAGCCTCTTAAAAACTTGTGTATTTAAAGCATAAAGACCCAAACCTTTTTCATTCACAGAAAAGTACAAAAACAATGTAGTAGGCTACATAAGTTAGGTGTATCACTATTATCCGAGGAGAGAAATCACAAACTATTCTGTTATGGCTCACCTATGCTCTCGGAAAGAGGTGGTTGTTCACAGCACAGTCCATCATCTTCCATTGGCAGAGAAGCATGTGCCTCATGGGGCCTGAGAGGAGAACCCAGTCCGTGGCCCAGTTCTGGGGGCACTGACACTGTTTTCAGGGTAATTTGGCAGTATTGGCTCTAGAAGCCCCTTTTTTTATTTTCCCCACAGGCACAAAGTGGAAGCAAAGTCCTGTTATGGTCCCACTCATAAATACTAGTTAAGAGTTTGACTGTGGGAGACTGCCTTGAGTCTTGGCCTTGTCTTAAAAGTAATGAGTTTAGCCCTTTTTTGGGGTTTTTTCTCCCTGTAAAGTGATTGAAAATTAATTTGAAGGAAATGGTTGCTTCATTTTACAAGTTGCTGTTATGGCCAAACTTCCAGGACACTCCACAGATAAAGCAGACTATTGGGAGCAAACTTCAGGAGCATGTTCTTTGAAGACAGACTTGTGTCATGTACACGATACTGGGAGTCTGGTTTTGGCAATCATATGTGAGTGAATATGTGCTGTCCCCCAGCATCAGCTGTAGGAGCAGAAGTTTTTCCTTTACCTTTTGTAAAAAGGCTGCCTAATTTTGACCTTCTACCCGACCCATGCTGACTTACCACTCTCTTCTTCCACATGACGGTGATGTGGGTTCCTTTTCTAGTGATGGATTTTCCAGCTGGCAGGTGGCTGAAGTCACTGCCTCATGTTTTCTAATTCAGCAAACTCCTCTGCTGTTGACATGCTTGAAATAAATTACTTGGAACAGATTTCAGGGATCAAGTATAAAAGCCAGGTTTTGGAGCTTGAGATGTTATCTCCTTTCTGCAAATTAATTTGGCAACTCATTTGCCTTATTTTTAATTGAGCAAAGACTTGTTTAGGGTTTGTTCTTGTCTGCATATAGAAAACAAAGTTATAGTGTCTGTTTATAATATTCTCACATCTTTGACTTCTTTTTTCTTTCTGTCACAGGTTGTGTAATAGCAGAGCTCTTCACAGAAGGTGTACCCTTGTTTGATTTATCTCAGCTTTTGGCGTATAGAAATGGCCTCTTTTCCCCTGACCAAGTCCTAAACAAAATTGAAGACCGCAGTATCAGAGAACTGGTAAGGATGGGCTACAGAATTAGAACCATCTGTGTGTTCTGTTTGCAGTGTATTTCACCTACTTTGGTGACAGATTGCTTATTGTTTGGGTTTGGGTTTTGATGTTTTTGTATTACAAATGTCTAAACCTCTGATCTTTCTCTCCCATTCCCTCCTACTTCTGCCTTTCTCAAGGTCACTCAGATGATCCATCGAGAGCCAGATAAACGTTTAGCAGCTGAAGATTATTTGAAACAGCAACGTAACAATGCATTTCCTGAAATATTTTACACTTTTCTTCAGCCTTACATGGCCCAGTTTGCCAAGGAAACGTTTGTGTCAGCAGATGAGCGTATATTGGTCATACGTAAAGATCTGGACAACATCATTCACAACCTCTGTGGGCACGACCGCACAGAGAAGGCCGAGGGAGAGACAAAAGAGAATGGGCTGGTTATTCTAGTGTCTGTGATAACTTCCTGTTTACAGACTCTCAAGTACTGTGATTCAAAACTGGCTGCTTTGGAGCTGATTCTTCATTTAGCACCAAGATTAAGTGTAGAGATTCTTCTGGATCGTATTACTCCTTATCTGTTACATTTCAGCAACGACTCTGTGCCCAGGGTGAGGGCAGAATCTGTGAGGACTCTAACTAAAGTTCTTGCTCTCGTCAAAGAGGTGCCACGCAATGATATTAACATTTACCCAGAATACATTCTGCCAGGCATTGCACACTTGGCTCAGGATGAAGCCACCATCGTCAGACTTGCATATGCTGGTAAGAGGACATCCAGTCAAAACTCCAAATCTTGAGCTTTTCTGTGTTCTCTTAACTGTTTCTGTCACCAAAACTCGCCAGAAGTCTTAGAAGTGACTGCAGGTATGACACCTGTAGTTACATTTCATTAGCTCTGATTGTTTCCATAAAATGGCCTGATGGAACTGAATAAATAAGAAACTAACTTAAAACATCATTGTGTTGCTGGGCTGCAGAGCTGTTTTCCAACAACATGAAATTTGATATGCAGGGGCTGTAATTAGATTATTTACTCTGTAATAAACTGGCTTATACTGTAACAGATGTTTTCTTTAGATGTTATTCAGATGTGTGAGTTCTGCACAGTTCAGGAAGAAGCTTTGTAGTCATGCCCATGTTTGCTATTTACTGTGTGCCCTTACTGTGACTAGCACATTTTTATTAGATTTTGGGGTTTATATAGTTGGAAATATCATATGATGTTTTTCTTTTGTTTACTAAGTAAACTGATAAAAAGAATTATTGAAGACTTTGTACACTTAATGAATAGAACCAGTTTTTTGTGGTCACCATGATACATTTAAATTTCAAACACATTAATGTATTTAAAGGTAGTCTAACTGGGTTAATTTCTTTTGCACTTTTGGAAGTGGTCAGACTGGTGACTTTAGAGTATTTGGCCTGGGCTGTGGACAGGCTCCATTGGCACGTAGCTGTTGATTTGGATGACACTCAGAACGGCTGCCTAAGTGGGACTTCTGCCTTGCTGTTACTGTTCCTGTGCCAGCAGTGACTGACCCATATAATGCAGCCTGAGTTGCTTCAGCAGCTTCCAAATGGTGCAGAACGTTGCCAAATCAGCTGGATAGATACACTGACAAATGTTCTAAAAGTGGATTCCAGGGTAACAAGTTGTTATTTCCTAGGATAATGTCCTGGTGTGGTGGTTTGTTGTTATTTTGTCACAGTCTACTATGTGGCAATGTTAGTTAATTCAGGCTATTTGGCCTTTACCTTCTATCAAATTATTTAGTTGCTAATTGGGCTTGTTCTAGAAGAATTAAATTACTCATTGTTACACCTAATATCATTAGGATTTTCCCACTTGTTTACATGACAAAAGTACTGTGTGATTTGATGTACTTTGGTAGCTTTGCCGGGAGTCAACAGAAGTGGGTTGACCAGATCATCCTGTTCAATTTCAGTCCTGTTTGCCCATTGTGACTGGTGTTGTCAGTGGCTGTAATCTCTCTTCAGGGCATCATCAAACTGATGTAAATTGGCAAAGTGGAACAATTCTTAACCAAATGTTTTCCTTTGCAGAGAACATAGCACTATTGGCAGAAACAGCTCTGAGATTTCTGGAGTTAGTACAGCTGAAAAATCTGAATATGGAAAACGAACCAAACGGTGAAGAAATGGATGAAACATCTCACCCTAGTGATAACTATGACACAGGTAATGTCACTTTTTGCCTGCTTATAATAGCAAATCGTGGGCCAAAGCTCCTAGGTAGCACTGAGCTATCTCATCTCTCAAAGCTTAGCCTTCTTATTAAATGGGAAGAATGTTTTGCCTTGACCAGTATCAAAGTGTGTGACAGCTTCCTGTGGAGACAGCACCTCTGCTCTGAGTGTTGTGAGAGACAAAAAAGTATATAAATGAGCATATTTTTCTTCTCCAGAGGTCCTCAAGGTATTTGACTGTGATGCTGGTTGCTTTGTTGCACATCCAGCTTCACTTCCAGCTTGTCTCATAAACAAGACAGCTGCAAAAAC